GAGGATATCGGTTTATGTAGAGGGAAAGGTGGGTGGTTTATTGGAAGAGGAAGGTGGATTCCTGGCGAGTAAAAGCGGTTTTCTGACAGGTTAGAGGTCGCTGGATTCCATCCCTATAGAGGAGGAAGACGGGGACAAGAAAGAGAGCGAGTTCAGGCCAGGGCTAAGGCCAGTAGTTTGGCTAACGGAGGAGTCTCGTATCTGTCTCCCCTCTCCTCTGCCTGAATCTAGAGTGAGAAAGAAATATGGATGGCTGGAGCTGAAGATCCGAATTTAAAGGCGACTAAATTGGGAGTTGGAGACATCCAGATAGAGAGGATGAGAGAGAGAGAGAGGCAGTGGGAGAAGGCTTCATTGGACATGACATCTACTTCCAAGACACCACCGGCCCCAAGATGCACGGCCTTGCTCGTAGGTGCCGACAAGTCTATCATAAACATATGCCGCATCGAAGCGTATCGGGACACTCTATGGCCACTAGCAACGTCAATTCTACCGTGACTCTGCTATTTTTGGCACCATCAACTTCATCTTCGGTATGCTGCTGTCGTACTGTAGAATTGCACCGTCATCACCGTAAGCCCATGTCCAACCAAGAAAACCTTGTAACAACCCAAGGGCGTACTGACCCCAACAAAAACACAGGCACCACCATCCAGTTTTTGCGAATTCAAGCTAGCATCGACTTAGAACCCGTCAAGAACAAGCTCCCCACCTACTTGGGATGACCATGGAAAGAAGATTCCCGAACCTTATATATGCAGAATAACATCGGGGACCACATAGCGGCAGAAGGATGGCTGCCAGGAGTAGGGAATTTGCATTGAAAACATTATACTATGCAGAGTACATGAACAACGGACCAGGTGAGAGAGCAAGCCGGCGCATGAAGTAGCCAGGCTACCATGTGATAACTAATGCGAAGGAGGGTGAGAAGTTTACTGTGGGGGAGTTCATACAGGGAGGGGAGTGGTTGAAGGCCACTGGAGTTGCTTACATAGAGGGTCAGTAAAAAGAAGCAACTCACTATTTTCCTTTAAATTTGTGTGCAGTTTTCATGTTCTCATTTGGGAAAGCTTTCTATCCCAATTTCAAAAGAGAGGTGAGACACGGAGTTTGGAGAGAGAGAGAGTTTTAAGAGAGATAAAGATAGAGTTATTTTACAAAATGTTTAGGTTAATAATGTATGGTCAAAAAAGTCTAGCGGGTAGGGAGATAGAAAAGATAGAGACTTTATAACGCAAGAAATAGTCTGAATTCTTGAGTCTCTTGAGAAATGAAAGTCACAAATAGGAAATACTGAGATATTTTCCCTTAGTTTTTTTTCTTTAAGCCATTTTGGTGTCAATTATTTTTATTATCTTGCATTAAAAAAAATTGTAAACCCATCTTTGTTTGTTTAAGAAAAACTTCATCTTTAATGTGATAAAATATAATAACAAATTACATATATAAAAAAAAAAACGTAAAGAAAAGAAGACAGACGTGAAAATTTTTCCTATTAAAATTTATGATATTTTTTTACTTAATGTTTATCTTCTTTGGGGCATCTTTTATTGTTATTTTTGAAAGAAGGCCGTCTTTATCTTCTTTTTCTGAAAATAGATAAGGACACAAAAAAAAGAAAGGGAAATAAAAGAGAAATTAATATATATATATATATATATATATATATATATATATA